TGAAAAAATCATTAACTTAGGCGGGAAAATGCAGAATATACAAATTTATGTAGCATTTATTCCTGAGACAGATTGGTACACCTACAATATTCCCATTGAGAACTAAATCTTAAATGTGAGCGAGACCATCACCGAGATCTGAATCGAAAACCTAATTTAAAGTACATATTACTATCCTGAATGTAGAACTAAGAGAAGAATGAGGATATGTTATTAAGTATTACTGGTTCCTGTAGGCTAAGCTACAGGCGTTGATGGCATCATTGATAAGAATCGACGAATATGTATGTACATGTAATGTACAGTTATACTATTATCATTTTATATATTGCTTTATTAAGAGTTTTCACACAGAACCCTATCATTATTTAACCATGACGGACTATACATGGTATATTTGATAATACTCTTGCTATTCTAGTTACAATGACACACTATCAATTACGCTTTAACAAATTTAATTATTTTCTCTAACGACTTGTGTTATATTCGTAGGTACAGTTTAGGTACACTAGCTATCGTAAGTCTACTTTATCTGCCGTTAGAGAGGCTTTAAAACTTTAAGTAGACCACTCAATTTTGATTACCAAAATAATTATCAATCAGATACTCATTGGAATTGCAAATTACGATTTATGAATTTTGGTAGATTTCCAATGAGCAACCTAATGAGAGGAATTATAATTCATTAAAGAATTTTTCACATACAGCCTGATAGATACAGGATATTTATAATGTGAGATCGTACGTTTCTATACGTGTGAATGAAAACGATTAAGTGGATTTATAAGTTACTATTTTTTTTTGCTTCCATTATTTAAGTGAACTTTTTACTAAAGTAAATTGAAGGTAAGACAAAACTATATTCATGTTAGTTTGTGAGAAAAGTATAAAAATATGCTCCGTTTCAATTAAAAGCGAAACATTTCATTGGACAGTGTAATAACGGAATAAATTCCCGTATATTACTGCGTAGTATGAATCGACAACAAAGAGTCATTTATAGATCTAAATATTAAATGGGAAATGCAATTTAAAGATCATTCAAAGAATGAACTTATAGCAATTTATAGCAGATCTGAGCGAATAGGTGTATTCAAATATTTTATTGAAGTGAATGTGAACGCTTAAAGTTTGATATCAATGTTATTCAATAGGCTTCTTTGCAATTAACAGCGAAATTGCGAGAACGTAAAGACGATAAAGAAACTAAAATAAAATGTGTCTATATGTCCGTCGCCTTGACAGAGTCACGAATCAGTTTAGGAAACGGAGTTTCTCTTAAATCTCTTGTTCAAACTTACTGAGATCCAATTGCCTACCGAACGAGTGGGGAATTTGTAAAATGTAATGACGTGTTTCAAGTCACGTAGTAATAGTGCCCTCTGTTGTATTTTGCGATAATAGAGCAAAGCCTCTTTGAAGTGTGAATAAATTTTATGTGAAATTTCCCTTTCAATAATTTTATATTGCTATAAATTTTTCGAAATTAATTTTTGCAACTGTAATCAAAACTTTTTCATTACAAAATTTCATTGGGCATGTTAAAACATTACAAAGGTACAAACTTAATTTTGAAGTTAAAACTTCGTTTAGGTTGGATGGGGTGTAATTTAAGTGCATTCATTCGCACCGGCACGGTCACGTGACGTGACGTACTGTGCGTCACTTAAATTGTATTCTTGTTTGATTGTTATTTTAAATGCTCAAGTGTACGATTACCGTGAAATAAAAATTGACTATAAAATACATAAATATTGTCATATACAAATATAGTTTATTGTTTATATAGGGAATTATTGTTTCTTATTTCGGTTACTATAAGCCTATGATACCGTTTTTAGAACGTGATCAAATGATCGACAGTACAAATAGCTTGAATAATGTTGAAGTGAGATATAATGATACAGAGAATGAAGTGGATTCAATACAGATTTTATTTATATAAGTAACAAAAATGTATATTCATTATTATGCTAATTAAGTTGTATTTATATTCAATACTGGGCTTACGCAGCGCATTTATGTTTAGGTAATAAATAAGCTACATAAAAATGAATATAATTGTTGCTTGGAGTGTCGATAGACGTCAAAACCAGGCTAATGTAAATAGATGTAATTTATAAATTATTGGTTTATGATACAACAGTTAATATGAATATCCAAAAAACACTGTTATATCATAGTTTTAATTTTGCGCTTATGTGGGCAGTCCTCATGACTGTACAATATATTTTTAATTGTCTTTCGACAAAATTGGTTCGCGTAAATATTAAATTAAACGTTGAATTGATTTAGCGTCTTTTTAAAACGGATCATTTTGATGGAACTTACACTAGTTGAGTTAAAAGTTACTAGGTGTATTCTTCCCTGATTTTTAGAAATTTAAGACATTAAGCTTTTTTTTATTTTCGTCACCGAAACTCAATTTTTACCTACTAAAATTTGTAACAACGAAAAGTACGAAATTAAGAAAATTAAAGTTAAATAAACAACAAATTCCTAACAAAAATACTCTTTTAAAGTATCAAGTAAACTAAAAACACTTCTAAAACGTATTAAATAAAATTATTTATATTTCCTGAAAATAATAGAGTTGAAATTCTTAACCACAACCTACATAATTCATTATAGTTGGATATGATTTTTTTTTTATTTAAAATATCAAGTGTAAATTGCTTTAAATAAAAACAAAATATATATTTTTTAATTTCACTGTTTAACTTAATCTCATTGTGAATTAAAATTTTCGAAACTTTGTTCATGTTTGGTAAAATAGATTTAAAAATTTATATTTTAAACAAAAGATAAGTTAGTGAAGTTATAAGATCTTATTAATTGAAAAACTATAAATTAATTTACTTTTCATATATATACCACAATAATAACCATAAAACATCATTAAATGTCAACTCATAAAAAAGCCTGTTATTGTGTTAATAAACATTTGAAATGATAGTAACGTCTGGGCATCGATACAACAGATGAAATATGACATAAAAAAATAAGCCAGAGGAAATTTATTATAGGTCCTTTACTTTATTGTATTCCCGAACCGTTGGTAAATTCATTATAACTTCAACAAGAAAATCCAAGAATTAAAACTGCAATCTCTTATGTTCATATGAATTCTTTCATTTTTGTTTTATCTATTTTCTAGGCAACTCATTCTCATTTATCTTTTCAAGCATCAAGTAATTTATTTCATATTTTATTTTACCATTAGTACCACTTCACCTAATGGTATAGGATAATTGTCATGTCGTCCTTTTTTTCACTGAAATATTTATACCAGAAAGGTAATCACGGGACACTATGTTCGTTCTTGATGCTGTTACATCAGTTTTTAATCACTCCACGGCTGAGGTACACGCTGCCACAATTTTTTTCTTATTTTTCAGATAGAGTTAGGACTATTACGCCTCCCACGCCGGTCCGATAGGAGTTAGGGCCTATTAAGGACCGGTAGTCACAACGCGACGACCAAGCATTGCGTGCTGCCCCGGAAAAAGGTACGAACGACTTAATTTCAGTTGAAAACTCCTTGACGTATGCGTCCACGCATGCGAGCGATCACTGCACATCTCGGAGACGAGTCTCTCATCACTGGGTCAACTACGTGGGTACAGATTGCGTAACAGCAACCTTCGTGTTGACCTGTGCATTTATCGACGAAACCTACATAACGGACGCAACTCAATAAATTATTAATTATATAGTATCCCGAGTGGTATGTAAATTATATTATTAAGTGGTATAACTGTCCTTTCCAACAGGTGCACACTGACGTTTAGCTAATTTAATTTTGGATTTTCGAAACCTAACACCTAATTTACATATATCGTATCATCATGCCATTAACGATGACTGGTCGAAATGAACGCTATTTTCTAAAAGTTGCCAAGCTCGTAGTCTACTTAATGGTATTTCAATTTACCGTCGTAACACTATCGATAGGTGAAGATCATGAAGGAAGTTAAACGGAGCAGAAAGAAATGAAACCGAATTGTTTTCGAAGCAAGTTTCCATAGTGAAAAAAGGACGACGTCTCGTACCGCCACCGCAGAGAAAGGGATATATATAAAATAGTCTGAGGAATGACTCGATAGACATTCAAAGTTTACATATGATAGTGATATAGTTTTAGTGAGATGAAGTTACAACGGGACCGAGAGCAAAGTAACAGAGAAGACTTGCGTTAAGATCAGTATTGGAAGCAAGACCAAGAACAATACTGTGACCAGAGTTTAGGTAAAGAAATTTATTGTAATGGGAATTTATTTTATGTGTGCTATTCACTAGGGAATCTATTATACGTGCGAGGAGGTGGCGCAGGAAACGTCAGTTAGTAGCCAAAATTTCTGAAACATGTTTTGTTGTCGGATATCTTCCAACAAGATTCGATTTTGGCATCAATCATGGGTCCTTGCACTCTTGAAATTTATCGTATGTGCTTTCAATTTCACTCAAATAGTTTTTTTTTTATTGAAGCCAACATTTCTAGGAAGCGAACATTTGTCAGAATCGATCATACACTTCATAAGAAATATGCGAACAAATACTTTCACAGAAATAATTTATTCTTTATAACTTCAATATAATTTGAAAATAATATTATGTAGGGAATTGAAACTATCATGAAAATTCATTGTTTTGTTTGTGCTTTTGTTTGTCTATGATAACATGCAGCCAGGCATTAACTCTCGGAAAACAATTATAATGCACATAAATACAGAAGAAACACTACTGCGCTAACATTATTCGCATTTATTCAAATACTTTTTGTCCAATTTCGGCTGTTAATGCGCACCATTCAATAAAATGCATGCGCTGTCGTTTATTATGGGGTTGTTTTAAAAATAAAATACAGCGAAATACTTTTCAACGTCCCAACATAAAGAAAAATTGTAATCAGATATCCGTTTGGTGCGATTAATATATTCTACACCTAATATGAGTAACCAATTACAATAATAACCGTTATATACATTAATCGAAAAGCGATAATGGCTCAGTGGTTAAAAGCGTTGCCTTCAAAGCAGAAGGCTTCGGGTTCGATCCCAATAATCACAGGTGAATTGGTGAATAAGTTTTTTTTTTAACTTAAGTCAAATTAAAAACCGCTCGTTTCATGACTCAGAGGACACATTAAAGAGTCAACTCCGGACGCCCTTTTCGCATCGGCGACCCGATGGCTAGCAACCCTTAATGTGCCCGGTCTGAAATAGAAATTCTGGTACGATAAGCCTGAGCGTACCCGATACACAATCATAATGAAGTGCGGTTTTGTGTGTTGTGTGATGCACCCTTCGTATGATATAAAAGAAAAAGTGAAAAGACTGTATCGCGTGTAGTAATGCATAGACTCATCAAATACTGATCTACAAACTTAGGAAATTTTCCATCGACTATCGACTGGACCGTCTAAGTACACATTTATCGCTTATTTATATTTTCTACTGTTTTTTTCTGTCTTAATATAATCTTTAAATGTGGTTCAAATAATCTTTGAACAAAATTCAAAGATTATTTGGAACACAAAGTCGTTAGTCATATCGCGGAAACATAACCATTCCCGCAGGCCATGCCGCTTCGCCTACGTGGGTAAAAGTTAAATAACTATTTATTATTATCATTGAATTCAAACTCATGCAAGCTTCTAATCGCATTTATTTTTCCTTTTGCAGGCGTACGGTTGAATACGAGTAATCGAGTAATATTGCGAAATGTTAATTTTAAAAATAAACTCAAGCTTAAGTTAAGCTTGCATAATATATGGTCGCGATATTATTGATATTACGATAATCGTAAAAAAAGCATTCACTAACGAAATTCAGGTATTTGAAACACTTACATTGTGAATAAATATTACCCAATTAAAAAAGATCTTTGCATTAAGAGTGCATTTTGAAATGGAACAATACGTATAAGAATATCGTAATTATACACAACTATATTTCAAACTATATATAGGTTTTCAATCTTTTAAAGCATTTGAATGGTGTTTAGAATAAAATAACATTTTTGTTGTAGAATAACATATGTTGTATTCAAAAATTATCTCAAATAGAACTACACGAATTTCAGTTTGTTTTGTTGACTGCTGTCATCGTTATGAAGAGAAAATAAAACGTACATTCGGGTACTCGAATCCATGTTGTCGTGCCTGATAGTCCGATTACTACGGCCTTGCCGAAATAAGATTGGGGCTAACTTGAAACTAACATCGTTTACCTCTATATATTTAAGTTCTGTGAAAAGTAAGTTTGTCTATTTACCTACAAAATGAAACAATATCACTTAGCATTACAAAGAATCGACCATTATCAATTCAACTACTGTCGGACGAATGTCGAATGTAAGGTCACGAGAGAAAAATATTTGTTTTGCTATTCTCTAGCCATTTTTCGCTTTGGTGTGTGAATATTGAATTTTAGCTTTGATTTTTTTTCATAATCCCTATACCGCTCTCGATGTGGCTCCTCATCCTGTTCTCTATTTCAATGGCTATCTCAGTCCCCCTTTGGTTTCTGCTTCTATTTATCTGATGTCCTACATTTTTTTTTTTAATTTATAGTATTATCCTATACTGGCTGTCCCGCCCGCTTCGCTGGGTAATTTTTATTATAAATAAAATGGCGAAGGATTTACGGAATTCGAAAAACGAGTTGCCTAGAACCATCTACAAATCATTCCGCATCGAATGGTCTCAGTCCCATGTCTATACGTTTAGTCGTTTTTACGTGATTGGCGAACAAAGACTACCTATTTTCATTACATATGAATAAATTCCAAAAGATAATCTACTTCGAAAATGAAATTCGTTCAGTGGTTTCGGATATTATACCAAACAGACTTACAAACATACAGGTACTCGATTTTATTATATAAGCAAATATCAATGTTATAACAACTAAGCAACGTGTAGAGACAGATTAAAATTCTTATCGAGTAATAAGTTACTAGTTATACCACTTAAAGATATAATATTGATTCGTGCTAAGGAAATACTTAATTCCGAATGAAACGTGCCAATAACGCAAAATTCTAAGCGCATGTATTCCTAAGTTTAAAATCGAAGGAGTCATTGCCGTGCAGCAGCTAGACTCTAGGCACGTCTTCTGGCAAAGCTTAGAACGATCACGGCGTCGGAGTTCATTGAATCGGTGTCGGTTGCAGTAGGCTGTTAACAACCGCCGACAGCAGCCGGCGGGTGGGCCGACCGACCGGCTTATCAGTTGGCGGCGGCGCCTGGCCGGCCCGCATCGATTCACTTATTTATAAACGCCCACGCGACTGACGAAAGACAGAAAACGGCCAAACCGGCACGGGCGCATGCTAAATCAAGTACCTAATATTCTCGACTGACCGATATTTTTCTAAGTATTTATTAATTGAATATCGATCATTATACAGGGCGTCGTTCGAAACGGAGTTTGTCCGTCCTTCGGAACTACCGGCGCCAAACGTTAAAGGATTGTGTATTCTTTCATGAATGTGACGTTCGGATTTCGATGAAATGAGTAAAACGGAATAACAATAATATGACGTATCGATATACTTAGTCAAGCAATAATTTTGTATTGATTAAATTTTACTTTTGCAAATAATTTCATTCAAACTTTATTGTTTTGTACGCCTATCAAACTTCTTGAGTAAACTAATTTGATATATAAACGTATACGTGTATATTATTGACTTATAAATATGTATTTTATATAATACAAAAACATTCTATATACTAATAAACTGGATTATGAAAACGGAATACGTTTTCATAATCCATTTTAAGTTTTCTCAAAAATAGAAACCGGACGAATTATAACAATTATTAAAGACAGCTACATATTTGGCTTTTGATACTATATTCACATATAGTAATTTAATTTGTCAGTAAACGTTTTATTTTCATTAAGAAAACATTTTATGGGTCATGTAATACGATAAGCATATACAAATATATATTATATAGACATATGCGGATTAATAAAACATCCGATGCAATATACGTGTATAACATTTTTCAAAGTTTCATGTTAGCTAAACTTAAAATACAAATTGCTATTCCTTATTGATCACGATTCAATCGCGAAGGCAAAAATGCTCAGAGGTTTCCTTTGTAGAACACAAAAGGCATAATCGAATCTATAATCTACAAATATTTTAATAGGAAATCGAAATTTTTAATACTATTTACAAAAAACGTTAAAAATTCACTTTAGTTTATCACAAATTACTTTCAGTTTTTTCCTAAATTTATTAAATGAAGAAGACGCGCGGTTCCTTACGCAACGGTTCTAACAGAATTTGAACCCAATAGGTGCACGCTAATATCTACCATTTAAGTAATCTATTTAAATTTGCAAATAATAATTCCATCATAAAAACTGTCACGCACAACTACAAAACGTCCATAGAATATTACTTAGTTCAAGTAGATACCATATATCAACAGGTGTGTCACCTAAAACGCATAGTCTAAGTACATCGTGGTAAAATAAAGGGGAGGGGTCTATAAATATTTTTTACCTTAACCACTAGTGACAATAATATCTTAATATATATTTCTTTACTGACACACCAAAATGACAATAAATTGATGTGCATTGAAAATAAAATTTAGTCTAACTGGAATGACTTCCCTTAAAATAAGTGTTACACATTAATTTAGGCGTTCGAAGTTTTTTTTAACGGTAGCTAATCGAGTTCTTCATACACTTAGGTAAAATAAGTGCAGCTTCTTTCGATAATTTGTAAGTTATCATCACAGAAACACGAGCTCCACAAGTTTTTAAAATTACGGAACCTTCTGATGCGTTTATGACAAACAGTATATGTGAATTCATAATGAGAAATGTGGTAATTGATTTTCACACGAATACAATACAAAGTAATAAAACGAAAACTATTTCTTTTTCTGCATCGTTGAAAATTCAAATGTCTACGGAAGTTTTCGTACAAACAAAATTTAATATTTTTTCCTTTTTTTTTTATTTCTTCTTTTCGTTTATTGGCATTACAGTAGACCTATCGAAGATAACTGTTCACACTGTAGACGTTTCTATATAAATTAATTAATACCTTTTGCGTAAACACATTGTCTTTCACTGGTGGACCGGTGGTACGTGGCATGGTAGCCGCTGAACGACGGCGTCGACATTTCTGTTCGAGATCCTGGTTTTCGCCGCCCCTTAAGCTCGCCTTCGTCACCTACAAATGTGCATATGACGGTATTACATGCTCCGTTTAATTATCACTTTATACATCCTTAGCTACATGGATGACGTTAAAATATATTAAGATGAGATGCAATTATCGCAGGAACTGTGCAATTCACAGAGTTCACGCGTTTAACTCTAATACTTGCTCAAATCAAACTATGATGTTATGTTTTCTGATATAACTCGAAGAGAATAAATACCATTACTGTAAATATTTAGTAAAATAACAGCGAGTTGCACCAAAAGGTAATTGCTCAAATAAATGTAAGATTTTACAGATAGTACATGAAAAATTTGTTACTTTTTGCAGGTAACGTTTACGGGGATCAAGGATCTTTTGGTGCAATTCACCGGCAGTACATTGAACAGTCAAACATTAAATGAGTGTAAATATCGTAATAAAGTACCCCATAATATGTTCAATATAATTAGATTTACTATTTGATAATTAGAATCCTTTCCTTTACTAACAGAAATTTGGTAGACTTGTAGATTCTTCCTTGTAAAACATAGAGATGGTATAAAATCGATGAATGGTGTGTCGTACCGTGGCTGACGCGAGACCGGAGGGCGGCCGCTGATCTGTAAACAGTGAATCGACAGGCGGCGTCGGTGCGCGCTTCTCCGCCGGCTGCGCTATTATTATCCGTGCTGGAGCCGACGCCGTTCACGCTCACGAGGCTAAATCCGTCCTGCGGCGCGGCGCGCGGCGCGGCCGCCCCTGTAACCACAAGCACGACGTAGCACCGGCGCACGGCGCTCACCGGCGGCACCCGTGACCGCCGCGCTCTCCAACTCGCCGAGCAACAACTCGCAAAGGAAAATACGAACGCAAGCGTACACCGTCGCTG